CAGCCTGAGCAAGAGTGAGACCCCATCTCTACTATAAATAGAAAGAAACTAATTGGCCAACTAATATATATAGAAAAAATTAGCCGGGCATGATAGCGCATGCTGGAGTCCCAGCTACTTGGGAGGAGGCTGAGGCAGGAGGATCGCTTGAGCCCAGGAGTCTGAGATTGCTGTGAGCTAGGCTGATGCCACGGCACTCACTCTAGCCTGGACAACAAAGCGAGACTCTGTCTCAATAAATAAATAAATAAATATATTTTATGAGAAGAATCACCTCAATAGAAACATTCTCTAAACACCTGCTGTATGCGAGCAGCATATACAAGGGTGCTCTGCCTCAAAGAGGAGCAGGCCAGCAGAACAGTAATTTCTTTTTTTTTTTTTTTTGAGACAGAGTCTCGCTTTGTTGCCTAGGCTAGAGTGAGTGCCATGGCGTCAGCCTAGCTCACAGCAACCTCAAACTCCTGGGCTCAAGCGATCCTTCTGTCTCAGCCTCCCAAGTAGCTGGGACTACAGGCATGAGCCACCATGCCCGGCTAATTTTTTCTATATATATTAGTTGGCCAATTAGTTTCTTTCTATTTATAGTAGAGACGGGGTCTCGCTCTTACTCAGGCTGGTTTCGAACTCCCGACCTCGAGCAATCCACCCGCCTCGGCCTCCCAGAGAGCTAGGATTACAGGCGTGAGCCACCGCGCCCAGCCTGAAGAACAGTAATTTCTATACACTGTGGACTAGAAGTAGCCCAGGGCTCCTCTGTGAGCAAAATGGGAGACTTATAGCCCAGTCTAGAGTATCAAAAGACCCAGCAGGACTAAGCTAAGAAAAAGTACTGAAGGAAGTACTTTTTCTTAGCTGGAAGGAAGGCAGGAAGGAAGGAAGGCAGGCAGGGAGGGAAGGAGGGGGAGGAGGAAGGTGAATAAAGTTAATGAAACATAAAGGTCTATTCGGAAACTACAAGATACTCAGTGTTACAGAACAAGAGGCTGCGTGCGCTCGTGCGTGTGTGTGCGTGTGTGTGTGTGTGTGTGTGTGTGTGTACACACACCAGCCTGAGCAACAGTGAGACCCTGTCTCTACTAAAAATAGAAAGAAATTAAATGGACAACTAAAAATATATAGAAAAAATTAGCCGGGCATGGTGGCGCATGCCCGTAGTCCCAGCTACTCGGGAGGCTGCGGCAGGAGGATCACTTGAGGCTAGGAGTTGGAGGTTGCTGTGAGCTAGGCTGATGCCACGACACTCTAACCCGGGCAACAGAGTGAGACTCTGTCTCAAAAAAAAAGAATGCACACTGGAGCTTGGGAAGAACTGAGATAGAGCCTTCCTAAGTGAGGAAGGGAGCTTATGTGCTCACCAGATCAAAACATAAAGAAAATATGAACAGTATTCTCTATCAATGCATCATTTGCTAATGGACACTGTTCAAATAGTTACAGATAATTAAGCAGTCATGGATATCTTGTCTAAATGAAACCGAACTCCAGACCTGGTACTCGCCATCATCACATCTCAAACCCGGGATGTCTAAAACCTTAGACACAGACACCTTCCCATCCTGCCATTTCTCCTGTCCCAGCAAAGAGACTTGCTTACGAGGTCCTGGGCTTCAGAGGAAGCAAGGCAGTGACGGGGACAGCAATGTGTGTGGCAGCTTTAAAAAAATAGGCCAGAAATGGACAGCTCCTTCTCTGATAAAATAAAAAAATTAAAAAAAAAAAAATGGGGCAGAGGAGGAGGTTCCAGGAGGACAGAGGGAATAGCCAGAGCAAATGGGAGATTGTTTACACTGAATAATTAAGTCAGCTAACAGAGCAAGAAAGTAAATATACTGAGAAAATGGGAGCCAGGTTTCTCACTGTCTGAAAAATCATTTACAAACATGGAAAGAATGAAGCATTAAAAAAAAAAAGTGGAGTATTAGATTGGAATGAGAAATACGAAAAACTCATGGGCTTTTTGCTAACTATACACCAACAGTTACAGCAATAGTTATAGGTGTGTGTTTACATGTGTTCTTAGAACTCTTATCCGGGACACCCAGGTCTCACTCCCCCACCCCCACATCCTCGAGGTCCCTCCAGACCAGGGGTCCTCAAACTTTTTAAACAGGGGGCCAGCTCACTGTCCCTTAGACCATTAGAGAGTGCGCACTGTGGGCCCGGGCGGAGCTGGCTGCTAAGCAGGACAGGCAGCGGTGGCAAACACACTAGGCGGGCCAGATACATGTCCTCGGTGGGCCGTATGTGGCCCGCGGGCCATAGTTTGAGGACATCTGTTCCAGACCATCCTGCTACATGAACCAACACCCCCACCCCCACAACAGCCATCACTGCCTACACTCTTACCTGTTTGGTTTTTCTTGCTAACACGCAGCATTTGTTAACTGACTGTTTCCTTCCAATAAGGAAGGGGAAAATTGTTCAGATCTGAATCCCCTCCACTAAGAATATCTGGCACCTAGTGGCGATCAGACAGTACATGAAGAGTGATGTTCCCACAGGATTTACCTTTTTAGGAGCAAAAGGACAGCATTCGCTGTGCTCGAGTCTAAGCCAGTGGTAGGCTCATCCAGGAACAGGATGGAAGGATCGGTAATCAGCTCCATGCCTATGCTAGTCCTTTTTCTTTCTCCTCCAGACACACCTCGGATAAACTGAGTTCCAACCTAAAATGCGAACATTACAATTATCAGTAATAACATCCAGTCCCATTTGGTGAGCCCCCAACACATGCCACCTCTGGGAGACGAAGTAGGCTTCTGTAGCATAAGGAAACTGAGGCTCAGATCAGAGCTAATATAAATGGCTAAGCCTGATATAAAGCCCGTGTTTTTTTTAACAGTTATGTAGGCCAGGTGTGGTGGCTCACGCCTGTCATCCTAGCACTCTGGGAGGCCGAGGCGAGCGGATCACTCAGAGTCAGGAGTTCGAGACCAGCCTGAGCAAGAGCGAGACCCCGTCTCTACTGAAAATAAAAAGAAATTAATTGGCCAACTAAAAATATATAGAAAAAATTAGCTGGGCATGGTGGCGCATGCCTGTAGGCCCAGCTACTCGGGAGGCTGAGGCAGGAGGATCGCTTGAGCCCAGGAGTTGTTTGTTTATTTGTTTGTTTAAAGAAATAGACTTTCCCAATGTTGCCCAGCCCAGCCTGGAACTCCTGGACTTGAGAGGATCCTCCTGCCTCTGCCTCCCAAGTAGCTGGCACTACAGGTGTGTCCCCTCAAGCCTGGCTAGCAGCCACTTTTGACCGTACACATTACGGAAAACTTTTTTTCCCCCCGATGGTTTTTTTTATAATTTTTTTTTACTTTAGTGTATTATAGGAATACAAGTGTTAAGGTTACATATATTGCCCATGCCCCCCCTCCCCCTAGAAAACTTCTTAATAAAAAGTCATTTCATCCACACCAAGGAGGGCCTATTCGCTATTGTGTTTATCAGTTTTCTCCACGTTACCTTGGAATCTGCCACTTTATTCAGACCTAATTCGTGAATGACCTTGTTAATCCGCTCGTTTTTCTCATGGTTTGTCATAGTCGTTGGGAGTCGAAGAGCTGCTGAGAACTGCAAGTTTTCTCTCACTGTCAAAGTGCCCATCACGACGTCATCCTAAGGCAAAGTGGCATTTTAACAGGACACGCCAAGCCTTTCCCAAGACCGTCACTCTTTAGTCTATGTGACCTAATCCGCTTAAATATCACAGCTAAGGTAAAGTTCTAGTGAACGATGAACTTTCAAACTGCAAGTGGCAATGATCCCATACGCAGACAGCTGCAAAGGCTCACAGAATGATCTCCATCCCCTATCCGTACACCCAAACAGAAGGCAGGTGATCATGACAACTACCAGAAGACATTTCCAGACTGCTTTGTGCAAGGATTTGTCCAAAACATCTTTCTAGGCTAGGGGGAAAAAGGTGAGGGAGGGACAAAAAAGGATGACAGTAGTATCTTTCAGAAATGGTATAGAAACTAGCCTTGCAAGTCAAGGCGGGTGGATTGCTCAAGGTCAGGAGTTCGAGACCAGCCTGAGCAAGAGCGAGACCCCTGTCTCTATTATAAATAGAAAGAAATTCATTGGCTATCTAAAAATATATAGAGACAAAAAAATTAGCCGGGCATGGTGGCGCATGCCTGTAGTCCTAGCTACTCGGGTGGCTGAGGCAGGAGGACCGCTTGAGCCCAGGAGTTGGAGGTTGCTGGGAGCTAAGCCAATGTCAAGGCACTGTAGCCCAGGTGACAGAGTGAGACTCTGTCTCACAAAAAACAAAACCTAGCCTTGCCCTTACCAGGGTCATATTCCAGATTCTTCCTGCCTTTTCACTTAAAGCCACCCTGAATGTTATGGGAGACTGAAAAGCTGGTGTAAGGAAATCTGGTTCCGAAGCACACTGAACTGCCAGCCAAAGCACGTGCCTATACAGAAACAGAGGAGACCAAAAATGAAAGCCACTAATACTTACTTGTACCACGTAACCCGAATTACATTTGAAATTGGCAGGTCGAGGTGCTCCATTTATCAAAACATCTCCATACAATCCATGTGGGTCTTTCCTTGCAGCTAAGACATCTAATAACCTGTACAAGGAAATACATGTTGTGAGGGCTTTTTCCTCCAACACTGGCTGTATCTCTCAGCTACCCCGAATCTAAATTCTGATCAAGTTACAAAATTAACTGCTCAAGAAATTCTACAGTTTAGGCTGAGCGAGGTGGCTCACGCCTGCAATCCTAGCACTCTGGGAGGCCGAGGTGGGAGGATCGCTCCAAGTCAGGAGTTCGAAACCAGCCTGAGCAAGAGCGAGACCCCGCCTCTACTAAAAATAGAAAGCTATTAATTGGAAAACTAAAAATACATAGAAAAAATTAGCTGGGCATGGTGTTGCACGCCTGTAGTCCCAGCTACTCAGGAGGCTGAGGCAGGAGGATCGCTTGAGCCCAGGAGGTTGCTGTGAGTGAGACTCTGTCTCAAACAAAAAACAAAAATCAAAAAATTCTACAGTTCTACTAAAATTGAATGTATTTTTAAAGTTCTTGCCTTCCTTTTTAAATATAGGCTACAATAAAGGCCCCAAACAAAAGACACCATGGTGCAGATTCACTTCCAAAGGAAAAAAAAAAAGACACCGTGAGCTAATCCAGCACAGACCTCCCCTGTGGCCCTCCCAGCTGTCTGACCTTGGTGATCCCAAGGGCAAAGGGCTCTTCCATCCAAGACTCATGCCCTCACTTATACCTTCTGCGCCATCTCTCCACTTCTATTATCCCCTTCCTTTTCCTCCCCATTAGCTCACAACACGGTCAACCACTGTATGCTAATAATCACCGTATCATGCCCTATTAGTGAAGCCGACCTTACACGACTTCCTGGTGCTTGAGACATAATCACACGTTAGCACAACTGCATGTTACCCACAGTGCCTAGAACTAGACCAGACAGGCACAGCAAACGCTCAACGAATACCTGTGCACCAAAAAGTGATTTTTAAGAGCACACTAAAACCAGGCAGAGAAAGCCCACGTATACTCTCTCGCATACTCACGAAGATTTTCCTCCCCCTGTGGGTCCCAGAATGGCATTGAGGCCGGGTTTCATGATCCCACTGTAACACAAAAATACACCGATTTATTATTATTCTACTTTAAATTGGGTTCTATTAGTTTAGGATCTGTACATAGATGTAACCTTCTTGCTACAAATAAAAAAAAATTTTTTTAGGCTCTGCACTGAATACACTCTCAATGAAAATTGGTGAAATCACAGACAGAAAATAAGCCCAAAACAACTGTTAAAGAAAAAAAGATTAATAGAAGTGTAATATACAAAGGATATTTTTTTGGTTTTTTTTGAGACAGAGTCTTGCTTTGTTGCCCAGGCTAGAGTGAGTGCCGTGGCATCAGCCTGGCTCACAGCAACCTCAAACTCCTGGGCTCAAGCCATCCTCCTGCCTCAGCCTCCCGAGTAGCTGGGACTACAGGCATGTGCCACCATGCCCGGCTAATTTTTTTCTATATATATTAGTTGGCCAATTAATTTCTTTCTATTTATAGTAGAGACGAGGGTCTCACTCTTGCTCAGGCTGATTTCGAACTCCTGACCTCGAGCAATCTGCCCACCTCGGCCTCCCAGAGTGCTAGACAAAGGATGTTAATCAGTAGTCAGGACCTTTAAGAAAAATGGCTCAGGTTAACTCCTTTTTACTTATTCTCTAACCCACTTACACTTTTTGGAAAATGACACATCCAACATTCAAGGATCCTTGAAATAAGTAACAGAGTCATGGGAAGAAACTGTTACACTTAGTCCTCTTTCACACTGTCAAGTACCTGCTACATTCTGAGTGATGTCTGATGGTCAGTATTGTACCTTTAAGTAGCCTCATCTGCTACCTAGTTAAGTCTGCACAATATTAATTAACAAACCTGAATTACAGAATACCAGCAGAAGTGATCTCACTGTGAAAATATAATCAGACCAAGAAACAACACATCTTAAGCAGAAATCCAAAGGTCAGAATAAAGGAATTCAGAATAAAAAGAAAACACCATCATAGTTCTTAACTGTAAAAAAAAAAAAAAAAAAAGGTCTTCATCCAACTGGAAAAGTAAAATATATGCCCTGAAAATATATCTTGTCCATCCTTGTTAAGTGTCAGATAAATGGACTGGAATATTCTCAGTTTATAAGTGGGAGACATCACTTCAGTAGGGAATGTCCTTAAAGAATGTATCGACATTGGCCGGGCGTGGTGGCTCACACCTGTAATCCTACCACTCTGGGAGGCCCAGGTGGGAGGATAGCTCAAGGTCAGGAGTTGGAAACTAGCCTGAGCAAGAGACCCTGCCTCTACTAAAAACAGAAATAAATTATCTGGACAACTAAAAAAATATATATATAGAAAAAATTAGCTGGGCATGGTGGCACATGCCTGTAGTTCCAGCTACTCGGGAGGCTGAGGCAAGAGGATCGCTTGAGCCCAGGAGTTGGAGGTTGCTGTGAGCTAGGCTGACACCACGGCACTCTAGCCTGAGCAACAAAGTGAGACTCTGTCTCAAAAAAAATTAAAATTAAAATTAAAAAAAATAGAATATTGGTAAGATCAAAATATACTCCGCAGAGAAAGGAGCATTTATTCCAAGTGGAAGGTCAAAGCCAAAGACTACTTCGTTCTTAGATGATGATTACCAAAGAGGTCAATTCTATGGTCCCATACAATGGCCATGGGTGATCCACTGTGCAGTGCGGCCACACCAGAGCACTTAAACCAGGGAGGATCATTTACTGCCCGTTGTACCCGAACTGTCGCAATTAGAAAATGGGTGAAGGCTGCCAGGGCAAAGTGCTCTTGCTTTGCTCATCGATTGAGGCACCGCTCACTGAAACACCGGACAAATACAATGAAATCAGGTAAACCGGGTGCAAGCTGTGACAGACACATCTCTTACTCTTTCAGTGACCTTTCCCTGCTGGTGTATTAATAATAAAAGACACGCTCATGATGGGGTAAACTTTTTTTTTTTTTTTTTTGAAACAGAGTCTCACTTTGTTGCCCAGGCTAGAGTGAGTGCCATGGCGTCAGCCTAGCTCACAGCAACCTCAAACTCCTGGGCTCAAGCGATCCTTCTGTCTCAGCCTCCCAAGTAGCTGGGACTACAGGCATGAGCCACCATGCCCAGCTAATTTTTTCTATATATATCTTAGCTGGCCAATTAATTTCTTTCTATTTATAGTAGAGACGGGGTATCGCTCTTGTTCAGGCTGGTTTTGAACTCCTGACCTCGAGCAATCTTCCCGCCTCGGCCTCCCAGAGTGCTAGGATTTCTATTTATTTCAGCATATTATGGGGGTATAAATGTTAAGATTACGTTTACTGCCCATGCCCCCCCCATGATGGGGTAAACTTTCAAGGCATATTCACCTACAGCTCTCGGTGGATCTTCTTTATTAATAGCTACCCAATTACTACTTCTAAAATGACCATAAATAAGCTTCTTATGCCCTAAGCCTTCATCGTCAGAAAATCTTTCCAGGTGTCAAAAATATCTATTCAAATAAAGTCCCAGCAATCCGGAATGATTAACCCAAACCTGAATAGGAACACTCTAAGACAAAGAGCTTGGCTTACGTTGGCACTAAACAAACGTCAAGAGTTCCAAGTTGTCTGAAGGAAATAAGTCCAGTCAAAAAAAGAAAAAAAAAAAAATAGAAAAAAAAAAAAAAGAGTTCCAATTTGGAGCAGTGGCTAATTCCAACTCCACTCTCTCAACGCAATCATCAAACGTCTACTACGTACGCACAAATTATTCTTGTAGGGCATGGGACAGAGCTGAAAACAAACCAAACAGACAAACAAAGTCCAAGCCCTCGTGGCGTTTACATTCTAGTCCAGGGATCAACACGTTACAGATGGTCAGCTGTTTTTGTTTGTTTTTCTTTCCATAAACAAAGGCTTATTAGAACACAGCCATGTTCGTTTGTTGACGTTTTGTCGACGGTTGCTTTTGTGCAACACTATAGCTGCAACACTGATGTACGGCTCATAAAGCTGAAAATATTTACTCTATGGCCCTTTGTGTTAAGAGTCTGCCCACGACACCTGTTCTAGTCTACGATCCACACTTCACTGCTCTCCCCGCCCTTTCCCTCCACCCTTCTGTCACCCCTTAAGCCTCACTCCCCACCCTTGTTTACTACTTTACAGCATTTGCGTCCCTCAGTACACCATAAAGGCCTGCCAACAAAAACTGTCATAGTTTCCACCCCCTGCACCATTCCCCTGCCCACAACACGCACCACAGTGATCTTACAACCACCGCATCACGCCTACTGAACACGGGGAATGAAACTCACCCAAAGAATGCATGCTGCATCTATTACATTTTAGTGGATATTGGTCAATCCCTTGGTCTTGTTTTGTCCATGGCCAAGAGAGGCCAATGTCCCCCCCTCCCCCAACACACACACACACGATCTTCACTTTCTCAATCTCCATGCTCCAATTTAGGGCTGGGAATTCTGTCGTGTCTTCTAGTCCTCCCAGTAGAACAACAGAGAGAGAACCTGCTCTAGTTTTCTGATTCCCCCATTAGGCTACTGAGTAAAACACGAATCCATTGCTGATGGTGGAGGAAGCTTTTTCCTTTTAGTAGAATGCAAACTGAGCGCTGATGAAAACAGGAAAACCACCCTTTGGCAGGCATCACGCAGTGGCGGGTGATTCAGGCAGGAGGCATGGGTGGAGGCTGAAGCTGGTTAAGTTTCACGTGGAACAGGATTCTGGGGCGATGCCAGCTTGTCCCTCCTTACAATACTAATCAGTTACAAAGTGGGAAATGGTGACATTATGGTGAAGTTTGATAGACGCCAACATGACCAGGGGGTCAATTTTAACATCACTTGGGGTGAGACGGAACAAGAAAATACCAGGCTCGATGATGATGAGACAGGAGAGACACAGACGCTGTGGTCGGCCAGCTACATCAGGAGGGCCCACTGCTGTCCTCACTGTGAGGGCACATTGTCCCCTTGGCTTCTCCCAGACAATGGAGTGGTTATATAAGAGAGAGTCCTTATTTCTGGAAGCCACACACCGGAGCAGGCAGGGCTAAGGAAGCACCGTGTGGACAGCCCACTCTCTTAACTAAATTCCAAGAAAAACACTAACGACAACGGGAACAAAAACTACAATGTGCTGAGAACAACTGCAGTGAAGATTAACAGTTGGGGGATCTGGGTGAAACAGGGTTATGTTCCTGCAAGGTATAAATCTGGAATCATTTCAAAATAAATTAGGATATGGGAGGCCGGCTGCCGTGGCTCACACCTGTAATCCCAGCATTCTGGGAGGCCGAGGCAAGTGGATTGCTCGAGGTCAGTAGTTTGAAACCAGCCTGAGCAAGAGCGAGACCCCGTCTACTATAAATAGAAAGAAATGAATTGGCCAACTAAAAATATATAGAAAAAATTAGCCGAGCGTGGTGGCGCGTGCCTGTAGTCCCAGCTACTGGGGAGGCTGAGGCAGAAGGATCGCTTGAGCCCAGTTGTTGGAGGTTGCTGTGAGCGAGGCTGACGCCACGGCACTCACTATAGCCTGGGCAACAAGAGTGAGACTCTGTCTCAAAAAATAAATAAATATAACCCGGGCGTGGTGGCTCACGCCTGTAATCCTAGCACTCTGGGAGGCTGAGGCGGACGGATTGCTCGAGGTCAGGAGTTCGAAACCAGCCTGAGCAAGAGTGAGACCCCGTCTCTACTATAAATAGAAAGAAATTAATTGGCCAACTAATATATATAGAAAATTAGCCGGGCATGGTGGCGCATGCCTGAAGTCCCAGCTACTCGGGAGGCTGAGGCAGGAGGACTGCTTGAGCCCAGGAGTTGGAGGTTGCTGTGAGCTAGGCTGACGCCACAGCACTCACTCTAGCCTGGGCAACAAAGTGAGACTTTGTCTCAAAAAAATAAATAAATAAATAAAATAAAAATATAATAAATTAGGAACTAAACTCTCCCTAATCAGCATAACGAATTTCCCTGGAGATTACAGGATATCAGGCATCCACTGGAATGTGCAGTTTTTCCATAGATTTCAGCATTGATGAAGGAAATCACAAATGCTGGGGAGAAGAGCAAGACTTTTCCTACGTTAGCAGAATCGTACCTTTCTGAATTCTCACGGTCAGACTCTGTTTTATCTTCCTCCCCGCCCCCACAGGACATCAGGTAATAGTTATTTAGTTACTAGAAGTGAGACTGCAAAAGAGTCCAAAGGAAAAATAAAACTCAAGATCTCATCAGCTCTTTCGGAACATGTGTTAACGATCTGCATGGTGGCGGTGGCTATCAAATGCGAATCAAAAATAATATAAATGAGAGCCGCCCCTTCTGTACCCCAGAGACTGTGCTTGGTTGAAGCCAGCAGACAGGAGAAAGATTGCAAAAACTACAGCCAAAAAAGGGGTGACCTTCCTAATGGATATCTAAACCAGAAATGTAAATAAATGAGAACACCAGTCCTGGGTGTCCTTCCAACTGTTAAACCTGAAAGCATTGCAAGATTTAACTGTGTTTTTATGAGTCCATGAATGCACGTAAGGACAAACTCACCCACTGCTGAACTGCACACCATCTGACCATAAACAGCAATGGGAAGCCTTGAGCAGATGAGACTTATAGTGTATCAAGTTACTAATTTACCAGCTTTAAAAGATAAGCACTGATAAATACACCCTGACACAGTATGCATTTTAAGTAGATTCACCCTACATGCACATAGTCACATCATTTGTTCCCTTCCAACTCTCCCAGCACGAAAATCTCATGTGACCAACATTTTCTTGATTATTATCGTTCATAAGATAATGTCTTGTCAGCTTTGTCACAAAATGTCAGTCAAGGCTGGGCGTGGTGGTGGCTCACACCTGTAATGCCAGCACTCTGGGAGTGCCAAGGCGGGAGGATCGCTTGAGGTCAGGAGTTTGAGACGAGCCTGAGCAAGAGTGAGACCCCATCGCTACTAAAAATCGAAAGAAATGAGCCGGGCATGGTGGCGCATGCCTGTAGTCCCAGCTACTCGGGAGGCTGAGGCAGGAGGATCGCTTGAACCCAGGAGTTTGAGGGTGCTGTGAGCTAGGCTGACGCCACTGCACTCTAGCCCCGGGAGACTGGCCAGGTGGCAAAGGTATACTCTATCTCAGAAAAAGAAAAAAGAGTCAGTCAATTCTATCTAGGAATGTAAGCAAAAGATGAAAGCTTTGCATCCTCATTCCTTTCCTTATCTTTAGTCAGGGTTTCTTAACACACTGAGGTCCCCAACCCCTAGGCCAAGGTACCAGTCAAGGAACCAAGGTGGCTCACATCACCACCAGAGCTCCACCCCACCCTCCACCCCCCACCAATGCACCACACTCCCTACCCCCAGTCCTTGGAAAAACTGTCTTCCATGAAACCAGTCCCTGGTGACAAAAAGGTTAGGGACTGCCGCTATAGAAGAAAGCGACAAGGAAGTAGGTATGATACCGGTGTTGCTGTATGCAGAAGGTTTTAATCCTGCACAGCTCCTGGCCTCAGCCCACTCAAGTCTCAGATTCTCATTTTTCTCCTCCCCCCCCCCCAAAAAAAAATTTCCTCTCCTCTCTTGTAACTTCCTGGTTCTCCAAAAGAGGTTGGCTGCTAGCAACAGAAAAGGCCACCGTCCCAAGCAAAACATGAAGGCAACATCTGATTCCATGAAGGTCTGCAGCCACACTGGGCCAAAGGGCTTGTTCTTATAAACACTCCTCCAGCCTTGCAGAGTCAGAAAACGTTGCTAGCTTTGTCTAGGAGGAAATATTTCCTCCCGTTAAACAAACAACCAAAAACACAGGCCACGATGTCTGAGTTAAACGCAAATTCACTCCCCATACCAAGAGGGGATGAATTAGCTTCAGTTCTCTAGAACTCAAAAAACACTAACAATCCCATGGCTAGCATCTGTGAAATCACAGCGACTGCTGGGAGGAGAAGGTTCTATAGAAATGCTCATTTCCCTACCCACTGGCTTACCACCACGTGACAAATTCAATGCTGGATGGAGAGAATGAAAACCAGTTACTCGGGGGCTTTTAACATATAATTAAATGTGTACTGATTTGGATCCCAAATTCTCATCACTTTGGGCCGGGCGCGGTGGCTCACGCCTGTAATCCTAGCACTCTGGGAGGCCGAGGCGGGCACATTGTTTGAACTCAGGAGTTCCAGACCAGCCTGAGCAAGAGCGAGACCCCATCTCTACTAAAAATAGAAAGAAATTAGCTGGACAACTAAATTATTTTTTAAATAAAAAAATTAACAAATAATTCTCATCACTTTGGACTTCAACTGCATAACTTTTTAGCTAAATATTTGAAGTATTTTCTGCCTACTAGAGGGAAAGAAGTAAATTGTTGTTGGTTATGTGCTACTATAAACAGGCCACTCATTTAAAACAAATCTAGGCCAGGCGCGGTGGCTCACGCCTGTAATCCTGGCACTCTGGGAGGCCGAGGCGGGCGGATTGCTCGAGGTCAAGAGTTTGAAACCAGCCTGAGCAAGAGCAAGACCCCGTCTCTACTATAAATAGAAAGAAATTAATTGGCCAACTAATATATATAGAAAAAATTAGCCCGGCATAGTGGCGCATGCCTGTAGTCCCAGCTACTCAGGAGGCTGAGGCAGGAGGATCGCTTGAGGCCAGGAGTTTGAGGTTGCTGTGAGCTAGGCTGACATCACAACACTCACTCTAGCCTGGGCAACAAGCGAGACTGTTTCAAAAAGAAAAAAAAAAAACAAATCAGTAAATCATATACCGCTAAGCCTCTTTCCATCAAACCACAAGAACTCAGCCAGAAAAAACTAAATGACACATTAATTATTTTCTCAAGCAAAAGTTAATGTACATGGTACAGCTATTTTAAAAAACTTTTTGGCAGTTCCTTTGAGAGTTAAACATATACTTAACTTGTGATCCAATCATTTCACTCCTAGTTTAGCCAAAAAAAACTAAAAGTGTGTGTTTGTATGTCTGTACAAAGACTTGTCCACAAACGTTCACACCAGCTTTACTGGTCACAGGAAAAAAACATGTGAATTTCACTGCAGGTTGATAAAGCCATCTTTTAGAAAGTTGATGCACGTACTTGATATTTGATAGTATTTCTTTTTCAACTGTTTTTCGGCCACGTAGAAGGCCACTCTTCACTTTTACTCGGTAGGAGATGTCATGGAAACTTAACACCGCTCCTTCACTGCATGTCTTCAGATCACTGGAGGTTGTCCCTGGCACGCCATTGGTGTTATTTTGCGACATTGGGATAAAAACTTCAACATTATTAGAAGACATCTGGAGAGTTTTCGCCTTTCTGTAGAGAGAAAACCAATAGTAAGTTGACAGTCCAGATAAACGCGATCGTAAACACTGGATAACAATATTTGCATGCATATACACACATGTGCACACCATATACACTAGACAATTATGTAGTATGTACTATACTAGGATATAGGCTTATCTCTCTGGATATAAATGCAAAAAGTCCCAATAATACTAGAAAACTGAATATACCAATATATAAAAAGACTTATGCTTCATTATCAAGAGAGATTAAACCCAGAAAAACATCTTTGACATCTGAAAGTCAGTTAGTTTAATATACCATATTAATAGAATACATTTCTATTGCTCTCTAGCCTGGGTTAAGAGTGTAGTGGCATCATCACAGTTCACAGCAACCTCAAACTCCTGGGCTCGAGTGATCCTCCTGCTTCAGCCTCCCAAGTAGCCGGGACTACAAGTACAGGCCAACACACCCGGCTAATTTTTCCAGTTTTTTGTAGACACAGGGTCTCACTATATCGCCCAGGCTGATCTCTAACTCCTTGGCCTCAGGCAATCTTCCTGCCTCAGCCTCCCAAAGTGCCAGGAATACAGGCGTGAGCCACGCCCGGCCTAATAGAATACATTTCAAAAACCACAGAATCATCCCTATAGACGCAGAAAAAAAGTTTGAAAAAGTTCAACACCCTTTGACAATGAAACACTCAATATATAAGGAACAGAAGGAAACTTCCTCACCCTGCTTGAAGTCATTTATGAAAAACCCATCATACTTTATGGTGAAATTGCATGCTTTCTCCCTCAGATAAAACAGAATAAATTTAAAACCAGTCCATTCTAAACTGTGCTGCAATGAGTAGCTTAATTTGCATTGAACAGCCCATATCACAGTAATGAAAACACCCTCAGGACCTATAGTGACAGGCAGACACAATTGTGAATATATAAACTCCAATTAGATGTCAAATATATTCCTAATAAGTAAGTGGACCCTAATATAAGCAAATACAAAAAGTATGAAAATTACTCAAAACTCAGGAAGCAGAAAAAAGGTGAGGGTTAGACTTGCCTGGATTAAAAAGCATACTATGATATAACTCAAGTTTAGAGATGGGTGCAGTGGCTCACGTCTGTAATCCTAGCACTCTGGGAGGCCAGGCAGGCCGATTGTTTGAACCAAGGAGTTCGAGACCAGCCTGAGCAAGAGCGAGACCCCGTCTCTACTATAAAAAATAGAAAGAAATTAATTGGCCAACTAAAAATATATAGAAAAAATGAGCCGGGCATGGTGGCGCATGCCTGTAGTCCCAGCTACTCGGGAGGAGGCTGAGGCAGGAGGATCGCTTGAGCCCAGGAGTTGGAGGTTGCTGTGAGCTAGGCTGATGCCATGGCACTCTAGCCCGGACAACAGAATGAGAATCTTGTCTCAAAAAAAAGGGAAAAAAAAAGTTTAGGTACAGACTACATGATCATCATTATAATCTTCTTTTTTTTTAATTTGGGAGTTTATGGCATTGTTATTTCCAAAAGGGGCTTAGGCAAGTACTAAGGGACAGGAGAAATTTCTCTGAATTTATAGCTCTACACATTTCTGGTTGTTATCACCTTCAATCAGCCAAGACAATAAACTCTCAAATTGTTTGCAATGATATAATCATTGCCTTCATGAACAAACATATTTAAATTCTAAGAAATTTTAAAAATATTTAATTAGGTGAGGCAATGTGGCTCACACCTATAATCCCAGCACTTTGAGAGGCTAAGGGAGGAGGGTCACTTGACCCCAGGTGTTTAAGGTTACAGTCAGCTATGATTGGGCCATTGCACTCCAGCCTGGACAGCAGAGCAAGACCCTATCTTTTCTTTTCTCTTTTCTCTTTTAGACAGAGTCTCACTCTGTTGCCCGGGCTAGACTGCCATGGCATCAGCCTAGCTCACAGCAACCTCCAACTCCTGGGCTCACGGGATCCTCCTGCCTCAGCATCCCAAGTAACTGGGGCTACAGGCATGCACCACCATGCCTGGCTAATTTTTTCTATATATTTTCAGTTGTCCAGCTAATTTCTTTCTACTTTTTTTTTATAGAGACAAGGGTCTCGCTCTTACTCAGGCTGCTTTGGAACTCCTGACCTTGAGCGATCCTCCTGCCTCAGCCTCCTAGAGTACTAGGATGATAGGCATGAGCCACCACGGCCAAGACCCTGCCTCTTTTAAAAAAAAAAAAAAAAAAAGATGTAATTAGAATAAGACCTTAAGGTAAACTTAACAACTTACGAAACAGGTTGAAACGTTAACTTCAATAAACCCAGTTTTAATTTTTCAAACTCCTGACCTGGAGCAATCCTCCCGCCTCGGCCACCCAGAGTGCTAGGATGACAGGCATGAGCCACCGCGCACAGCTAATAAACCTAGTTTTAATTTCTAAAAGGCAAAGTAATCCATGAAGAATTGTCTCTCTGCCTATGATGGAGTAGTCATTCCAAACAAGACATCCTCCTAAGGACAACTATAAAAGTACACAAAAAATAAAAGTACACAAAAAATATAAGACACGGCCGGGCGAGGTGGCTCACGCCTGTCATCCTAGCACTCTGGGAGGCCGAGGCGGGAGGATCGCTCAAGGTCAGCAGTTCGAAACCAGCCTGAGTAAGTTCTAGCCCTGAAAATACTACTAAATATAGAAAATACTCTATATACTATTACATAAATACTATCAAAAATAGAAAGAAATAAATTAGAATAAAGAAATTAAATATTATTAAATTAAATATTAATAATAATTAAATTAATTAATATTAAACTATTAATCGATATCAAATAATATATTGAATAAATTAATAATAAATTAGATATTATTGAATTAATATTACTAAATATTATTAAAATTAGTTAACATAAATTAAAATAGAAAGAAATGAATTGGCCAACTAAAAACATATAGAAAAAAAATTAGCCGGGCATGGTGGCGCATGCCTATAGTCCCAGCTACTCTGGAGGCTGAGGCAGGAGGATCACTTGAGCCCAGTTGTTGGAGGTTGCTGTGAGCGAGGCTGACGCCACAGCACTCTAGCCGGGGCAACAAAGTGAGACTCTGTCTCAAAAAGAAAAACATATATATAAGACGCAACTGTTGCAAGAGTTCTGTCCGATGAGGTCAACCAAAGGAGCCAGGATTTGAGGAAGCAAGATCTGGGACGGAGGGGATGGCACTGAAATAAACTCGGAACGCTAGGTGCACTTCAGTCTCTTAAGCAAAGGTAGGTATTTACAGGCACCCATCGTACATGCCTGGGGCAATACTCAGAATCCAGCAGGAAGAAGCTGCTAGTCTTTTCCCTGAAGCCTCTAGTATTTCTGAGCAAGTATTTCTTCAGCAGTCTCTCGGTGCTAGGGAGACAAACTTTTGTTAGATCGTTGGGTCCAGCAAAGAGAAGGGGTCCCCCGAGTTTGAGATCCCAGAAGGGCTATGCCCTGGGAATTCGGGCAAACCAAAGAAAACCAGCCTCTACTTGACCAAGGTGATCTGCTCAGACTCTGTCTGCTAGAAGAAAGTTAAATCCGTCCTCAAAGAAGATACATCATCGTCCAAATGTTCAGCCAAAAATGAGCAGGCATGCCAGAAAACAGGAACTGATGTTCTAAAAATGAGAAAATAGAAATAGACCCACAGGTAATCCAGACTCAAGTCATCAGACACCGGCACTAAAAAAACAGATTAGGTGGATCGAGGTGGCTCACACCTGTAATCCCGGCACTCTCAGAGGCCAAGGCAGATTGCTCGAGGTCAGGAGTTCGAAACCAGCCTGAGCAAGAGCGAGACCCCGTCTCTACTATACATAGAAAGAAATTAATTGGCCAACTAATATATATATACAAAAAATTAGCCGGGCATGGTGGCGCATGCCTGTAGTCCCAGCTACTCAGGAGGAGGCTGAGGCAGGAGGATCGCTTGAGCCCAAGAGTTGGAGGTTGCTGTGAGCGAGGCTGACGCCACGGCACACACTTTAGCCTGGGCAACAGAGTGAGACTGTCTCAAAAATAAATAAATAAATAAAAATAAAGGACCCAAGAAAAATTGATCACTCACACCCACGCAAGACATGGGGCTCCAACTTATAAATCCAGTAACAATTTTAGAAGTTTGAGTATAGAGAGAGTTTGCCCTCCTTGTGACAGGACTAACATGAGTGATTCATTCACACAGCCTAAGAGAGCTGCTTCGGTTTTTGCTAAGATTCTAACTATCATCCTCAGGAAGATGCAGGCCCTTAGTAATTTATGAGTCATAAGCCAAGCGATTAAACAGGTTATCAGCAAGGCACGCAATCCAGCTGAAGCACGTTATATTGAAAAGAAAAAAAGAGGAGAGTAGAAGACTGGGGAGAGGAGGGGAGGGGAGGGGAGGGGAGGAGACGAGAGGAAGGAAGGAAGCAAGCAAGAAAGAAAGAAAGCAAGAAAGCAAGGAAGAAAGCAAGACAGAAAGCAAGAAAGAGAAAGCAAGAAAGAAAGCAAGAAAGAAAGCAAGACAGAAAGCAAGACAGAAAGCAAGAAAGCAAGAAAGCAAGAAAGCAAGAAAGCAAGAAAGAAAGAAAGAAAGAAAGAAAGAAAGAAGAGAAAGAATCTTTAATTCTAACACCAATAAGGAACAACACACTTTCCCTAAAATAAAACAAAAAATATAGAGTAAGTTCTAAAAATAAAGAACATGTAACATCTCAGTATTAGACTAACCTCAAAAGACCCAAACATCTAATTAATACAGTGTGCTGGGTTTAGGCAACTCCCTAAAAGTAACAACTGCCTTCAAGTAAACATTAATGTTTTGCTTCGATCAGAAGCTTTCTGGTCCTAGGTGTTACTCTCATTGGATTGGCATCATCTTTTTATAAAGAAAAATGCCCAGGCCGGGCGCGGTGGCTCACGCCTGTAATCCTAGCACTCTGGGAGGCCGAGGCAAGTGGATTGCTCGAGGTCAGGAGTTCAAAACCAGCCTGAGCAAGACCCCGTCTCTACTAAAAAAAATAGAAAGAAATTAATTGACCAACTAATATATATAGAAAAAATTAGCTGGGCATGGTGGCGCATGCCTGTAGTCCCAGCTACTCGGGAGGCTGAGGCAGGAGGATCGCCTGAGCCCAGGAGTTGGAGGTTGCTGTGAGCTAGGCTGATGCCATGGCACTCACTCTAACCTGGGCAACAAAGTGAGACCCAGTCTCAAAAAAAAAAAAAAAGAAAAATGCCCAAATCCTAATCTAGATTTCCCTATAACAAAAACCGGCCTGCCCCTAGTTGCCACCTTGTCTCCAGACCGCCTGATAACCCTAATTGGCTTTTTATCACTTTCTGCTTCTTAGATCCAAGGCAAGGGGGCCTTACCTGAAAAGAAGCTTCCAGTGGCTTTACAGCCTGAGCCCGGCCTGCTCTTGTTATCTGGCCTGATTAGCATCTCGCCCAACATGAAAAGTCCTTTCCAACAAGACCTAATGGCTTTACATGCAGAGATTCTTTCTCCCTTTCGGCCACACTTTCCTCATCTACCTATATCACTTCTCTCTCTTCTTGTTGCTTTCTAACTAGTGAGGCCACATTTTTACTTTTTTTTTTTTTTTGAGACAGTCCTACTCTGTTGCCCAGACACTGTGCCGCCAGCCTCGCTCACAGCAACCTCAAACTCCTGGGCTCAGGCCATCCTCCTGCCTCAGCCTCCCGAGTAGCTGGGACTACAGGCATGCACCACCATTCCCGGCTCATTTTTTCTATATATTTTTAGTTGACCAATTGCTTTTTTTTCTATTTTTAGTAGAGACAGGGGGTCAAGCTCTTGCTCAGGCTGGTTTCCAACTCCTGACCTTGAGCGATCCTCCCGCCTCGGCCTCCCAGAGTGCTAGGATTACAGGTATGAGCCACCGCGCCCAGCCTCATTTTTACTTTTTTGAAAAGATTAAACGTTTATCTTCAATATATGTTGGTAACCTATTATAACAATGATCATCTACATTGGAAATATCATTTTTCTCTATTTTTTTTTTTTTTACTCTTCACCATACTCTTCATTGTATGGTCCACTCGTACCAGTGCCCAAAACTTAAAAGTTTTCATGCAATGCAAACTGCACGCCAGTAAGAAAAGTACACAGGCAGATTCTAAAAGCCTCGGCCAGCTACCTGCCTAGTTATAATGATGACACACTGTGGGCAGAAGCCAGGGTTTGCCTCAAGTCAAGAATTCTGGGCCCTGCCCTGTCATTTTTATGGAAACTTGCACTCTGCCTCACAGCCCTAGGGCATGCTCCTAAGTGCATTCCTCCTGCAGACGTTTGCAAGAGGTTCATGCTAAGAGATTACAATCCTGAGCAGTTAGGAGGCCTCAGGTCACTGTCACGGGATTGCTGCTGCAAACTTATCAATGAAAAGAAAAAAAAGAAAAACTGAATTTTAACTTGCATTCAAAATGTGCCCTTATTGATCTACAGGGTTTCCTCTTATCTCTGATTTGATGGATCCGGCCTTGACCTTGCCCGGGGTCCAAAGGCTGCCCACAGCAGGGGAGCCCAGGGTCGGCCAGCTGCGGTGCTGCAGGACCCGGCCCCATTGCGGCACAGGGACCTGGCGCCCACCGCGTGATTTGGCACTGACAAGAAAGACCCCATCCTGCAAGGGCTGCCGGCTCAGTGACAAGCCACCGAGGCCTTTTGATCAGAAAGGGACGGTGACACTAATTATGTTTTGCAAGGAGCACTCTGGCCTCTCTGCAGAATGTGGGGAAGGAGGAGGGCAGGTGTGGAAGCAAAGGGCTAGCTGGGAGGCGACTGCAGAAAGCCAGGGACAGCCTGCTTGGACAAGAGGGGTGGGACCTGGGTAATGGCAGAGCGGACATCAAAAGTTCAAGGGCTCAGAGAAGAGTGAGCGTTTGTTAAAAAACAAAACTCTCCCCAGGCGTGGTGGCTCACACCTGTCATCCTAGCACTCTGGGAGGCCGAGGCCAGAGGATCGCTCAAGGTCAGGAGTTCGAGAGCAGCCTGAGCAAGAGCGAGACCCCGTCTCTACTAAAAATAGAAAGAAGTTAATTGGCCAACTAATATATATAGAAAAAATTAGCCAGGCATGGTGGCGCATGCCTGTAGTCCCAGCTACTTGGGTGGCTGAGGCAGGAGAATCGCTTGAGCCCAGGAGTTGGAGGTTGCTGTGAGCGAGGCTGATGCCAAGGCACTCACTCTAGCCTGGGCAACAAAGCAAGACTCTGTCTCAAAAAATTAAAAAAAAAAAAGAAGAAAACAAGAAAATACAGTGTCCAGGCCGGTCTTGGATGGCTCACGCCTGTAATCCTAGCACTCTGGGAGGCCAAGGCCAAGGTGGGTTGATCGCTTGAGCTCAGAGAGTTCAAGACAGCCTGGAGCAAGAGCGAGACCGTCTCACGTATAATAGGAAACAAATTTAATTGGCCAACTAAAAAGTACATAGAAAAAATGAGCCGGGCATGGTGCTCATGCCTGTATTCCCAGCTACTCGGGGAGGCTGAGGCAGGGAGATCGCTTGAGCCAGGAGTTTGAGTGCTGTGAGCGAGGCTGACACCACGGCACTGTAGCCAGGCAAGAGGTGGACTGTGTTCAAAAAAAAAAAGAATAAGGAAAGGAAAATGGAAAATAGTGTAAGAATAGGAAAGAAAAAAGGGAAGAAAGGAATAGAAAGAAAGAAGAAAGAAAGGGAAAGGGAAAAAGAAAGGAAAAAGAGAAAGAAAAAGGAAAGGAAAAAGAAAGGAAAGAGAAGAAAAAGGAAAGGAAAGAAAGAAAGGAAGAGAAATGAAAGAGGAAAGGATAAGAGGAGAAGAGGAAGGAAGGGAGGAAAGGAAAGAGGAAAGAAAGAAAGAAAGAGGAAAGTAAAGAGAAAGAAAGAGGAAGAAGGAAATGGAAAGAAAAGGAACGGAAAGGAAAGAGAGAAGGAAAGGAAAGAAAGGAAAGGAAAGAAAGAAAAGAAGAAAGAGAAACGGAAAACGAGACAAGGAAAGAAAGAAAGAAAGACACGAAACGCAAGACCCAGTGTCATGCGCTGCCAGCAAGCACGAGGGCTGCCTTTGCCTACAGGAATTCCTCCAGGCAATGGGGACCTGAGTATGCACTATTGGGCACACCTACCCGGAGCGTCCTGGGTGGGACCCAGCTCCCCACGTATCCCGAGGGATGACTTCGCAGATGGGAAGGGAAGAAAGAGAGAGAAGATGCAAAGAGACGCAAGATCGAAGGGGAGAACGCGGTGGTTGGGGAAGGCGTGCAGTCTCATGGCGAGGGTTTTAGCTTGCAAGAGCTGGGAGCGGGAAATGAACGGAGGGTTAGCAAAGCTACGGAAGGGTGCAACAGGGAAGATCAGATCAGGATCGACCCCTGGCACTCCGGAAGGCCCCTGGGAATACAAGGTCCCTTCTCCACACTCCCTCCGCAGTAATCCTGATTCTTTCCCGCCAAGGATACTATAAGAATTAACAACTTATGGAAATTACTTACTTATCAATGCTGTCGCCAACTCTACTTGGCATTTGCCGTTAATCTTATGTAGTTATTTATTCGGGGGGCATGTTTACTGGAAACAATCCACAGTAAAATATTGTAGACATAAATTCACCTTCTGATGCGCAGTTTCAGATTTTTAAAAAATGTATACACATTGTTCAGTTGTTTGGGGTAATGGAAATAATAGGTAAATAAATGGTAGAATACTCGCCTTTTTTTCGCT